AATGAAATAAGAGCGGTCGGGTGTTAAATTTAATTATCTTCCTGTGGTCCGAACTCGTCCAGCTTTATGACGCCTTTAGTGTTAACACCGTCCTTTATCAATAACGAAATTTATTGTGATTCGTTTCAATTACGTGATATACCATTCCACGTGTAATCATATGGTTTTAATGGAGGTGTACAATAAAAACAAGAAGAAGGAAGGAACAGATCGGTGGGCGTGAATTTCTCGAACTGTTTCCATCTCAGTTGTTAAGTTTCTTTTCGGTGCAATAGTAATAAGGCGTCGGAATAAGCGGCGGCAATATTAAGTATCATCTTTATTTTCTGGGAAAGTCATCGCGTGTCGAAGAGACCGAGGAGGCTCAAGGTTACGTGTAGAGGTGTAATTGTAAATAAAATGTAACAATCATTACTATATTTATTTCAGCTCGTGTAATTTTTTGGGACGTTTCGTGAAGTCGCGCGGCGCCTCTCTTCAACGAGGGCCCACTTAAAGAATCCCTCCTTCATTCCGATGTGAGAAGAGCCCGTCTCCCTCGATTCTGTCCGCACATCCAGTACCATAAATATTATTATTTATATTAAAAATTGTCTCCTCGTTTTTCCCACAAAACTGATGCGATGACGTATTTTATGGAATCACACGTTAACACCTTCTGATAGGGCCCCAAGGGAATATTTATGTAATGCACGTTTTTAAAGGCGTTTGTTGTTTCTACCACTTGCCGCAATTAAAAAAGAACTTTATTAGGCGTCCGCTTGAAAGCTTTATAATTTCCATTTAATAAGACCACAGGATCTTTATTTAGTTCCTTTTTTTTGTATTCTCAGTGTTTCTGTAACATGTAACTCCAGCCACGACAGAATCATGTACATAATGAACGGAAACAAAAAATATGTTTGTATAATAACACGATTTTTCTTTTACACCTCGGTAACGAGAAATTAATGACACCATGTGTTTTACTCCTCTGAGTTTCAGACAAACTTTTTTCTTGTTAACATTATTTTTGGTACTCAAATTAATTCTGGATGGATTTACAATATTATACTTATCAGCGGCATTATTTTTTAAAATAAATTGAAAATATACGACAGAAAGACCAATAGTCACATTTTTTTTGTTTATTTTGTATTTTCGTTGTATTTTTTATTAGTTAGGAAATTATCGATTTATTTTGAAAACAGTAAAAATATATTATTTAATTGTTGTATAAGTTTCAACTACATCACAAAGTAACTACATAAATTGTGATATTGAGGAAACAACTCATTAATGCGTATTCACTACGCAATTATTGTACTTGTAGTAAGTACTTGGAAAGTATTGGTCAATGAGTAGCCGGCTTTAGATTGATATAATGATGACTATGTAAAAAGGTCAGTAAACTTAATACATGAGTATAATTGATATAATGATGACTATGTGAAAAGGTCAGTGAATTTAATACATGACAACGGGTGATAAATTATCATTATTAATTGCAAAACATCAATATTAAAATTAACTAATCAAACCGTATACTCGGGACAAGTAGAAACATATTTTTTTAAAAGGAAATAATTATTAAATTAACAAACCTTAGAAATAACAGAAATTTAATGATAAAAATATCTTAACAAATATGATGATTTCGATGATTGTAACACAATTGACAGTTATTAAAAAGTGCACCAACTTAAATAAAAGTAACTAAATTTAGTTATTTTGTTAGGGTAATACATAAATGTCCCATATATGCACAGTTATGCAACGTAATAAAATCAATTTAATCCAATTGAAAAGTCAAAATCTTAATAAAATTATCTCTGCTTCGAGACAAAATGCATCTTCTATAAAGAAAACGTCCATTTCTAACTAATTATCCACTTTATCACCGAAACTAAATAATCTATAATCAGAAATTCGATGATAGAAATATCTTACCAAATATGATGATTTCGATGATTGTCACACAATTGACAGTGTAACCAACTTATTTTGTCCCATATCACGCACAGTTATGCAACGCAATAAATTCAATTTAATAAAATTGAAAAGTCAAAATCTTAATAAAATTATCTTTGCGTTGAGACAAAACGCATCTTCTTAGATAAAAGAAACTAAGTAATTATCCACTTTATCACCGAAACAAAATAATCGATAGTCAATACTATAATATTTTTATCTAATCTTCAGTGTTAATTATCTTAGTTAATTAGTCAGGCCAGTAATAGAAAAAAAAGAATAAATTGATGTGATCGAATTTGCGTTTTCGTGTAAATCAGCTTAATCCGAAACGCGCAAGAAGCCAAACGCGCGGGGATTATCCCAGAACTAATTTCTTAAATGGAATTGCGAAAAAAAGTGCACTAATTAATGCTGGGCGTTAAAGCCGAGACTGGATTTTCAACTATAATCCACCGTTAAAATAAATACCGTAAATTACAAACGTAAATTAGTTTTTCTTTTAACTAGTTCAATTATCTTTTACGGTTTTTATGCAAGTACTTTAAAAGCCAAATCCTGTATAATATCATTACATTATCGTTTATTATATAATTAATATAATTAATGCCCAAATGTATTGAAGCTAATACAGTTTTTTTTTTCAATAAATTATACTTTTTATAAGGTTTCTTTAATAGATTATTTGATAACCTATGAATACTAGTTATTTAAAATTCGTATAATTACATAACTTCAATTGATAGTTAAACATCATAATGATTACAGCAGAGGGCGTCTTTGATTAGTGCGGATTCACTTTGGAAATTTCAAAACAAAAACATAAATTTAAATTGTAACTTGTTTATTTTTATGCGGTTTTAAAGTCCTCGATTAGTCCGGTTTTAAACTGTGTGGGAAATTGAATATAAGTGAATACAAATTAAATTTATTTCTGTTTTTTTATTGTTCAATTAATTAGGATTTGATTAACATGTCTTTGAGTATCGTATATTTTATGCGATGGTCATTAATTATGAGATTAAAAAAGTCGTCTGGAAAATTTGAAATTGGCGCGATTAAAATTGCACGGCGAATTCCATCCCGCCGGGATATTTCGCGCTGCTGCAATCTCGGGCATTCGGCCAAGAAGATTTGATATGGAAAAATGTGTCAAGAGATATTTCTAATTAAAGCACCGTTTTTGTCTCTAAATAGCTTACAAAAGAGTAATTCCGAACAAACAGCAATATTTAACAATAGACTTTTTCAAAAAGATTTTTTTTTCTTATAAGGAAACAGATTTTAAACTACTTTTCCTTAAAGTTATGTTTTCCGTTTCAATTGCATATTCTTCGGAATGGAACATATTGTGTTCATTCAATGATTCGCAAACTTATTGAAGAAACCCAAGACAGGTATACAAAAAGAAAATTAAACAAAAATTCTTGTAAGAAACCTAAATATTGAAGTTAATAAGAAACAAAATAAAATAAATTATTTTTTTATTATTATTGCTCTTTGGTCCAAATTAGAATTTTTTTTTTGTAAATAATTAATTATAATATGAAATTGTATTTCAGTATTTTCAACTTATATAATTTATACTGAATTTTGAAATATTTTATAATTTTTTTTATGAAATCTGTATATCTTGAAACGAGTTACTTATATCTATAATAAATCAGTGGAAATAAAAATAAAGTAAAACAAATCTGCACATTCCTAAAAACCGTATATTATACGCATTTTCTAGTTAAAACATATTTTAATCTCAAAATACCTTATCTGATTTGGTAATTATAAAATTGAGCAACTTTTAATGAATGTTCTAAATACTAGTTTATTTATACAATATAGTTTTAAAAAATCCTCTTTAACGAATTAATTCGTTACATACAATAGGAACTAAGTAAATCCAAAATTTTGATGTAACAATTGATATAACATGTGAAGAAGATTTTTGTTTTTTTATTTTAAATTTTGAAAATATTTTAAGAAAATTAACAAATCTGTCGTATTTTTATTAATATGTTAACAACAAAGTACTACTATCATAAATAAGTAAATTTTTAAGAAAAGTTACAGTTATTTGTCTTTTTATTGGACGATTTGAAAAAAATACAATCATATTATATAGTAATATAAATTCTGAATATATTTATATTGAATATATGTGTACATCGTGATGGTACAAATAGGATATGTCGACGTTGCAAGAAAAGGTATTTTAATTAAATTGAATATATACATTAGTGTCTCGCCAATGTCCATTTATCTAGCATGATTATCTTTGAATGCAGCAATACGTAAATTAAAGAGAAGTACTTCGTTTTCTTTATTTTATTTTTGTTCATTATATGTATATTAATCAACAAATCTTTTTTTTATTTCAGAAGATTTAACGGGGTGAATGAAACCTAGAATATATACAAATTATATGAGAAAAAAAATATATTAATTATCATAATAAAAGCGTAATTACTATGGAAAGGTTTAAATTTTATTTTGTGATTTACTGCAAATTCTTCCAATGAGATATTTAATAATACGTAAATTGAAGTATCCAATATTTTTTATCTTAATACGCAATTTATTCATTTAAGTAATTCATGAATTAAGAGATTTCATAATTTTTGTTACAATAAACATAGTAATTTTGCTTTCTAAAATATTTATTTCTTTAAACATTGTTATTAATTGTACTTTTTCGAATGAGAATTTATTTAGATTTTTCATCTTTTTGAATCGCAAATACTTCCAACGCGATATTTATTAATACGAAAATTATAGTTATTTATTATTTTTCTTTTTTTTTAATTGTAAATCAATTTATATGATATTTATACGGTGCTTTGGAAGCCAAATGCAGTCGTTTATTATTTGCAATAACAAATGTCCTGCGGTATTTAAATCTAATTATTAATGATATAAATGAGAATATTGCATAAATTATTTTAATAATTTATAGACATGGAATATAAATAATGGTGATAGCATTCATTAATACTCAATCATATGTGATTGTGATTTGTCATTTTATTTCTTTTAACGTTATTTTGAGAACTTACCTTTGCATTCGTTGGCATCTTTAGCGGTGGCCCTTCCCCATGGTCTGTCAAAATGAAAGGGTTTGCATCTTTCGCAATCGCGCCCGGCGGTATTGTGCTTGCACTCGCAGGCAAGTTGACCATCGCGCCCGAGAACGCACTGACTTGCATGTCCATTGCATTTGCATCGCCCGCCGACGGCGAAGTCCGCGACAGCATACTGATGGGTGACGGGACGGTAGCCACCCATCAACCCATTGCTACCCATCTCGACGGCCGCCGCTGCCGCCACCGGCTGCTTCTTCTCCTCCACGTCCAAAGCCTGCATCTCATTCACCAGCTGAACCGAAGGTCCTTTAGTTTGATTATCTTCCTCCAGTTGTTTGTTGTAATGATTCTCGTCGACGAGAATGTCCAGGTTATCGGATAAATCTTCGGTGGGCATATGTAGGCGATTAAAAACGACTTTGATATCGGTTGCGGTAACCCAGTCTTGGAGAATCGGCGAATTATCAAAGTCGTGGCTGCTAGGTCTACCCTCCAGAGTGCTGAAGGCGATCCTGGAGACGTGCCCCAAGCTCAGACCGTCGCCTCCGGTGTACCGGTGGGCGTCCGTGCACCTAGCCTCCTGCTCATTAGTTTTTGTTATGGTTGCCCGATTAGGTCTTCCGTAGACCCTGCGGCACTGACTAGAATAAAACTGGAAGGGTTGCCACGTCTTTCCGTAGTCCATGCTCTTGAAGATGGCTATGGAATCCGGCTTGGGGGTGTGAGGGCAGAACTGCAGACTCACGTAGGTCAACTCGTACTTCTTGCCCAAGCTAAGAACCAGGGTAACGTTATCGGGAGGCGCGTTGATGGAAGTAGCGGCTGCCAGAGGCTCGGACCTCCAGCAGGTAACATTATTGGGGTTGTTCAAATCGGTAAGATGCGAGGATGGGAATCGGTAACGCGGCTGGCGGTCGTCGCATAGGTGACACGCTGGGTTCGAACCCGAATCAGGTGCTTCGCAGTAATGAGCTGCCCCATGTTGGCCGCACGTCGAAGATGCCTTCACCGGCACCCCGAAGGCCGCGTTCACGAAGTCCGGGATGCAGCGACGGGGACGATCCTCGTCGTAGCACGGATCCGATTGCTGAGACGCGTACATAAAGTTATCGGCCCAAACACCGCAAAAACAAAAAACCGACAGGTAAAGGACGAGCAACATGTTCTTCACCACTGCGAACGCCTCTATGTCTTTGATTTAAACTTTACGGCAGTTGCCGTTCTTGCTGTTGTTATCGTGCTGATTCTCTTCTCGGAGTTGATCTTCTGCTGGGTCTGAAGGAAGGCTCTCCTCAAAACTTCATATTCACACTGTGTATAGTTTCGGGATCTCGATAGAGTCGCGTGGAGGCTGCGGACGTTTTGGCTGTTGCGGAGCTCTCGGCGGACGCAGTTTGACTGGCGGTCTGGTGTCTGGTCGGGTCGAGTCGCACCGCCCTGCTCAAAAAGGGCGCACCGTCAGCACCGCTAGCACCGCCATCCATCCAACCATCCCATCCATCCATCCAGCATCCTCGGCTCGGCTCTCTTTCGCACCACAACACAACGCACAATCCCCGCATCTCGCGATACGTCCTCAAGAACACTCCACAAGAACTCTGGATCGCTTCCTAATTGATGATTAACTCAATTATGGCAAATTACCGACTTGTCCTTCCCCGTCTGATACTGATACCAATACCACCTCCGATAACTAATGGCCTTCTCCTCCTCCTTCTTCTTCTACCGAGACACAGCCTCATCATCCACTTTCCGCGCGCTAAACTAATTGATAAATAAATCCGACCCATCAAACTGGAAAATTACAATTTTCTCAACTCACTAACATTAATTAAAGCAGTCACTACAACTGCACTTCCTTTACTACAATAAAATTACATACATCAATATTAATATGATAATGTAAAAAGTTGCATAATTCAATCTACGTCAATATTAATATAAAAATAAATGTCACAAAACATATTCTTGACGTATGATGTATTTACAGATAATTAAATCAGTCATTCTTCTACTTATTTAGTGAATTCCATGTATTTATAACTTGCCCAACATTAATTACTATTATCACTACAACTGCACTCCCTACAATTATTACTAATATCAAAATAAGGTTTCATTCGATATTAAATACAACTCAATCATCTTCAATATTTCTAAATAAAATAAATATTAAAAAACTACAAATATGGTTATTAAGTATTTACATGAAATCAATTATCCTTGTTCTAAAAACATTTATATTTTCTATATAAGTAATAACTTGTCATTTGTCAATATTATTACAATAATTAAAAAAATCACAAAATTTAATCCGTACCAAAAACATTTTTTTTTACTTTGGTGAAAGTAGTATTTTTAATGAAGATTCAAGAAATACAATTTAATAGTATAAAAATAGTATTTTATAGGTGATAATATTTTCTGTGCACTTTCACAATCAATTTGATTAATAATACCTTAATATCTATTTGCAATATTTCTTGCGTGAGTTCATTTCTGTAACATGAAATTCAATCATTATCTTCTAATTAACAAATTTCAAAACAAAAAGTTTTCCTATCTTACATATTATAATTAGATATTTCAGTAATTACTTTACTTGCAAATAAACTTTTTGTTTCAAAATTAATTTTATATTAACCATAGTTTCAAAAAAATAAACTTTCAATATCATTTGGATCAAAAGAATTGTCAATTAATTTTTTACAATATATTTCAATTTTCTTTTTCTCATTGCTATAGGGGTAATTAATGAATACAGCATGTCACAAAAATCACATTCAATTATAATCTTCATTTCTCTGAAGCGAATGCAGGAAAAGAAGATTAAAATACTTTAAACATAATGACTAACAAAAAAAAACTTAGGCTGTTGACCTAAGCTTTTTTATATATTTTTTCAGTTTATATACTAGAAACAAAATAGTATTTAATATTATCTACGTTTAAGTAACTTAAATACTACGCATCGTCATTGTTTGTGCTCAATGTTGCAATTAATTAATAAATATTATATTAATTAACAGTTCCTTGAAAAGCGACTGAGCAATTCATTCTTCTACAATATTTATTGAGACGCTTCTTGATAAATTCTATTTTTATATGCCACAATTTATCCACATAGTGCACAAAACAAATACTGAGTCAGTTAGTGATACGACATGTGTATTTAGAAAGAAATAATAAAAATAAAATCAACATTGAAAGTTCTATAAACTTTTATATATAATTTAATATAATAATTACTAATATTTATTTCAATCATAACTACATTAAAATTCACAAAAAAAAACCTGTATTAATTGAAAACATTAACACATTTTTAATAGTTTGAAAAAGTCCAATAACCAGACTATTACTCGTTGACAAATTCTAAATAATTTTAAGAACCTATTGTTTTAATACATTTTTACTCTGTTATAGCATGATAAACCTCACAAAATAAATGAGCTAAATTAAAATTAATTCTACAAAATTAGTACACAAGTCACTTATTGATCGGTTTATTTTTGTATGTATTTAGTTCCTCAATTAGTCCGATTTTAAACAGTCCGGGATATTGTCGGAACCGTACTATACGAGTATTTCAATTCCACTATAAAATTAAGAAAGAAGTATTCAATGTCTTTGATTAGTAAAGAAATATAAATGCAAATTATGAAACAAATTCAATATTATTGATATTATAAAATAAAATCCTTCATAAATTCGTTAATAATTATTTTGTGAAGAATCAAACGTTTCTTCTTCCTTCCACTTTACCCGAAAAAAAACTTAAAGGAACAATGTACATTATTTGATAGTTAACACGTTTGGAATGCGTTCACTTGAGATATAAGAATGAGCTGTCCGACGCTGAGCTGTGAAAGGGCAGAGATATGCAAATGCTAGGATTCGTGTCATCGCATATTTTAGCATACGCTTTGAGATTACCACAATTCCAAAAATCAAAGAGCTTGTAAATTCTTCTGTTGTGCACTTTAATCTGATCATATAGCATTCACGCTTATTAGGAGAATCTCGGAATCTTATTATATATATAAATGTTGAATTCAAGAGGAGCAGACAAATCTCTTTGCCAGTTCCTACCCATTCAAGGTAAAGTCATAAAACTCTCGGAAACCTTTGATTCTAAAAGTTCCCGCTTGATTCACAATAAAAAGAACATATTGGTAATATCAATGTTTCAATTGTTTTTATTTAATTTTAAATTATTCGTTTAAATATTATTAATCAAATGTAAAAGTTTCTACAGTTAATAAATAAATGATTACATAATCTTAATACAAACAATTTTCAATAATAACTAAAATTTTCTTGTATACATACAAAATTGCAAGTATGTTATAGACTTCAAGTCAATTCTTATTAATCTAATGAAAATGTTACTAAAACTAATAAGTTATTAGTTTTAGTAAAAATAAAGTATATTTTTTTGATAGATTGAAATTATTACGTTTTGTTTTATATTGGATACGTTCTTCAGTTCAAATACGATCGCATTCTTGGAAATTTTAGAATGCAACGTCTCTACCGTGATAAAAGATAAAGAACATCCAACAGAATAATGTCATTGTATTAATTCATTTCCAGCTGAAATTGTTTTCATTGTGAAATCATTCATACGCTCTTTCTGTTTTATTATTTTATCTTCGCGTTACCCGTTTTATATTTCTGTTTTGTTTTACCTTTATGCATTTCCATTGTTTCCCAAAGCGAATATAAGCTGGTTCTTTATATGGAGCAAAATGTATACCAATAAATACATAGTATGATCATATAAGCCAAATTTTATTAAACTTTTATAAATTATTGAAAATGAAGAAATTTATTTTATAAAATCTTTTGTAGTGAGGAAATTTGCAAAATGATATACATCAGATAAAATTTGTAATTTAAGTATAAAGTACAGGTATTTTCTACTGAATTTCAAACATAATTTTAAGTATTTAAAGAAGATGACTACAATAACAAAAAAAAACTGAAAGATAGGGTATAAGTTCTAAAGGTTTCGTTTGTACTGTGTATCTCAGTATTTCAATTTTTCTTTCATAAGAAGCCTGTTTGTACTATTGAGCAAATATTTTATATTTGCTCGTGCTCATGCGCCCGATATAGATTAAAAATAACACACGAAACTGATATTTAAGATACATCGAATCTGGATTTTCTTTTTTTTTATATAATTCTTTCTTCCTCCGTCCTCCCCTCGATTATTCTTGGTAAATACACGCACACAAACCCACCGGGCTTTCATAAATTCTTGTTTTATCATCACAAATGTACACAAAACATTTGATAACGCTCAAGAGCAAACCTTAATTTTGTTATACGATCCACAAATATTTAAGCGCCTGACGTATCATTGAAATCACCGAAATATAACATCGTTTATACATTTATTTTATGCTTGCACCATTTCATTAGTTTTCTACAAAAAATAATTTTAAATATTTTATATTAACGCTAATAACGTGAAAGTCGTCTGTTTTATATAAATAATAATAATAAATATTATTAACATGTTTTTTTTACAATAAAACTAATAAATCAATATGAAAAATGAATGAAATTGATTTTTATAAATAGCATCAATAATTACATTTTGGATACAACAAATCACATTATTTTCTAATACTTTTATATCAAGTTTGATATTGATTAATTTATATTATTTTATACATTTGTATAATTATTATAATAATTTTTCAAAATAAAAAAAAAGTATTTTTTTTTTGCAAAAATATTACAAAATAGCTAATGTATAAAGTAAAACAAAAAGAGAAACTCATAAATACACTATCTTTTAAATTGTATTATGATTTTGTTAATATTTTGCAAAAAAAAACTTTAAAATTTGCTTAATTGTAATGTATTGTTAAAAATTATCTTTTAGAGTACAGGAAACATGAATGACGTCTTGTCTAATATGAAGATTAGCTTATTATTAAGTAGCTTGTATTTGTTTGTGTGTGATTGTAGTCTCTAAAGAACGAATCAGTATATTCTTCAAATTATTAAATTTAACGTTAATGAACAGGTAAATTTATAGAAATTTAATTTTAAAAAAATCAACCAAAACTATATAAATAATTATAGACAAATAAGTGTACAGTGGAACCCGTGTTCCATTTTCCTAGTCATTTTTCTTACAATTTATTTTGCTCGTTAAGCAAATTGCTCGTTATACGAGGTGCTCGTTAAGCGAGGTTCCATTGTATTACATTAGTTTATATGGGGAAAATTGTTTCACTATACGAGTAAAAATTTTGAAACGGATTAAACTCGATAAGCGGGGTTCCACAGTATTGTAATTTTTAAATGACGTAACAGAATACAATTGTTATTTACATTCTTAATATTTTCGATGTGACTAACATTAATAACTATTATTAATAAAATCTTTAACTGAAGTCATGTTATTAAATATTTTATGCGCTCCGAACG